TATACAATAATAATTTATATTTCTCATTTTAATATTTTGCCGACTGATTTCTGCAAATCATTAGGGCAAATCAACAATATCATAGATACTTAAATTGTACACTACATAGAAACAAGAGCACCGCTAGGCTGAGCATTATATGCCAGAAAGTGTTTTTTTTTATATTAAGGATGAAGCATTTGTAAGACATTACATAAATTAAATAAAGTATTACCTCTTTCCAATAGCAATCCTCTTATAAAATTTGAATATTGTGGGCCAAATAGAAATCAAGTTATGCTCCTGAAACTGTTTTCAGTTTTAAAGTAATAGTGACCTTGACCTTTGACCTTGTGACCCCAAAATCAATAGGGGTTTTCTACCCAATATGGACAATCATCCTATGAAGTTTGAATATTGTGGGCCAAGTAGACTTTAAGTTATGCTCCCCAAACTGTTTTCAGTTTTAAAGTAATAGTGACCTTGACCTTTGACCGTGTGACCACAAAATCAATAGGGGTCTCCTACCCAATATGGACAATCATCCTATGAAGTTTGAAAATTGTGGGCCAAATGGAACTTAAGTTATGCTCCGGAAACTATTTTCAGTTTTAAGGTAATAATGACCTTGACTTTTGACCTTGTGACCCCAAAATCAATAGGGGTCTCCTACCCAATAGCGACATTCATCCTATGAAGTTTGAACACTGTGGGCTAAATGGAACTTAAGTTATGCTCCGAAAACTGTTTTCAGTTTTAGGGTAACAGTGACATTGACCTTTGACCTTGTGACCCCAAAATCAATAGGGGTCTTCTACCCAATATGGGCAATCTTCCTATGAAGTTTAAACACTGTGGGCCAAATGGAACTTAAGTTATGCTCTGAAAACTGTTTTCAGTTTTAAGGTGATAGTGACCTTGACCTTTGACCTTGTGACCCCAATATCAATAGGGGTCTTCGACCCAATATGGACAATCATCCTATGAAGTTTGAATGTTGTGAAGTTATGCTCCGGAAACTGTTTTCAGTTTTAAGGTGATAGTGACCTTGACCTTGCGACCCCAAAATCAATAGGGGTCTTCTACCCAATATGGGCAATCATCCTATGAAGTTTGAATGTTGTGAGCCAAATGGAACTTAAGTTATGCTCCGGAAACCAAATTGCTAATGGACAGACGGACGTTCTCACAGAACAGTAATTATGTGGCTACTCCATTGTTCTCTCTATTGTTCTTTTTAGCCACACAAAAGAAAATAGCCACATAAAAGCATTACGGAATAAATAACATCAAAGAGAAAGAACAGTTACCTATTGTCCCTCTAGCCACATAATTACTCTCCTGTGAGTGCGGATAGACAGACAGACGGACAGATGGATGCCAGGGGGTATAACATAATATGCCCGAAATTCTTTCGGGCATATAAAAAGGTTGATGTCATCAATTTCTGTATAGTTCTAGTTGAAACCTTTTGATAATGTAGCCGATACATTAGTATTATAAAATTGATAAATGGAATAACAGAAAATTTTGGTGTATTGAAACAAAAAAATCATATAAATGCATATACTTAAAGGAATTTGCCTATCAATGAATCCCATATTTGCTGTTTATGAATTGTTATTCTGTTTTAGCTCACCTGTCACAAAGTGACATGGTGAGCTTTTGTGATAGCTTTTCATGTGACGTCCATCCGTCCATCGTCCTTCGATAAACTTTTACTTTAAATGACATCTCCTCATAAACTGCCAAGCCAATTTCATCCAAACTTCACAGGAATGTTCCTTTGGTAGTCAACTTTAAAAATTGTTCAAAGAATTTAATTCCAAGCGGAACTCTGGTGTCATGGCAACCGAAAAAACTTAAAAATATCTTCTTTTAGAAAATACAAGAGCGATCAGTGATCACATGTGTCGCCTCATGATGGCCAATTTCATGTTGGGACAAGTTTTTAGACAGACGGACAGTGCACAACTAGACTTGGTACTGATCATTCCTGTAAAGTTTGGATAAAATTGCACCAGTAGTTTATGAGGAGTAGTCCGGACAAGCTTTTGTGTATATGCAACACACAGAAAAAAACCCACCTTTTTATCAAAGGGCCATAACTCAACCAAAAATCATTCAACTAGGAAACCCGTGCAATATGCGCAAGGACTTAAGCTACAGATCAATCCTGTTAAGTTTCATTGAAATTGCATTATTAGTATAAGAGAAGTAGTCCGGACAAACTTTAAAAATACAATTTTTTAAAGGGCCATAACTCTGACAAAAATCATTGAACTGGAAAATGCTGACAATATGCACAACTAGACTTGGTACTGATCATTCCTGTAAAGTTTGGATGAAATTGCACCAGTAGTTTATAAGGAGTAGTCCAGACAAGCTTTTGTATATCTGGCAACACACAGAAATAACAGCTTTTTATCAAAGGGCCATAACTCGGCCAAAAATCATTCAACCGGAAAACCCGTGCAATATGCGCAAGGACTTGAGCTACAGATCAATCCTGTAAAGTTTCATTGAAATTGCTTTAGTGGTATAAGAGAAGTAGTCCGGACAAACTTTAAAAGTAAAAATTATTAAAGGGCCATAACTCTGACAAAAATCAATGAACCGGAAAATGCTGACAATATGCACAACTAGACTTGGTACTGATCATTCCTGTAAAGTTTGGATGAAATTGCACCAGTAGTTTATGAGGAGTAGTCCGGACAAGTTTTGTGACAGACGGACAGACAGACGACGGAGAAGTGATCCCTATATGTCGCCACTACTCCGAGGCGACACAAAAAATGTCGAAAGACACATATGCCCCCCTTTCTAGCCCTTGACTCACATTACATTATTATTAATTTTGGTATAAATTGCCATAAATTGGTACATGGAAGTGTTCAATTATGGAAAAAAAATAATAATGAGACTTTGTGATAAATAGTTTTCAAGATAATGACACATTTAAGGTCCCTGTGACCTAGACCTTTGAACTAGTGACCCAAAATCAATAGGGGTTATCTAATACTTATGACCAATCAATATTAGAAATATGAAGACTTTGTGATAAATAGCTTTCAAGATAATAATCGGAAACCATACTAACATTCAAGAACCCTGTGTGCTTGACCTTTGACCTAGTGACCCCAAAATCAATAGGGGTAACTTACTATTTATGACCAATCAGTATGTGAAATATAAAGACTTTGTGATAAATAGTTTAAGATAATAAGCAGAAACCATTCTGACATTTAAGGCCCCTGTGACCTACCTTGACCTTTGATCTATTGACCCCAAAAGCAATAGGGATCATCTGTTGGTTATGACCAATCACTATGTGAAGTATGAAGATTTTGTGATATTTATCTTTCAAGATAATGAGCTGAAATCATACTACCATTCAAAGACCCTGTGACCTTGAGCTTTGACAAAGTGACCCCAAAATTAATAAATTTTGTTTGTTTGTTTCATTTTACACCTTTTCCCAACAGTATTTCAGTCATATAGGCAGGTAGTTCCCTAACCATCATTCCTGGAGAGTAACACCTGTACTAGACTACCTTTATCAATAAAACCAATAAAGGTCATCTACAAGTTATGACAATCAATATGTGAAATATGAAGACTTTGTGATGAATTGTAACCAAGATAATGAGATAGAAACCATTCTAACATTAAAGGCCCCTGTGATCCTCACCTTTGATCTAGTGATTCTAAAATCGATAGGGGTCATCTACTAGTTATGACCAATCAATACATGAAATATGTAGACTTTGTGATGAAAACTTTTCAAGATAATCAGCAGACACCATTTGTAAATTTAAGGCCCCCGTGACCTTGACCTTTGACCTAGTGACCATAAAATCAATAGGGGTCATCTACTAGTTATGACCAATCAATATGTGAAATATGAAGACTTTGTGATAAATAGTCGGCAAGATAATAAGGGGAAATCATATAACTATTCAAGGCCCCTGTGACCCTAACCTTTGACCTAGTGACCCCAAAATCAATAGGGGTCACCTACTAGTAATGACCAATCACTATGTGATATATGTAGACTTTGCGATAAATTGTAACTAAGATAATGAGCGGAAACCATTCTGATATTTGAGGCTCCTGTGACCTTGACCTTTGACCTTATGATCCAAAAATCAATAGGGGTCATCTACAAGTTATGACCAATCAATACCTGAAATATGAAGACTTTGTGATGAATACTTTTCAAGATAATCAGTGCAAACCATTGTGACATTTGAGGCTCCTGTGACATTGACCTTTAATCTAGTGACCCCAAAATCAGTAGGGGACATCTACTAGTAATGACCAATTCAGTAGGGGACATCTACTAGTAATGACCAATCACTTTGTGAAATATGACAACTCTGTGACGAACTCTTTCCAAGATAATCAGCAGAAACCATTTTGACAATTAAGGCCCCTGTGACCTTGACCTTTGACCTAGTGACCCCAAAATCATTAGAGGTCATCTACTAGTTATGACCAATCAATATGTGAAATATGAAGACTTTGTGATACATATTTTTCAAGATAATCAGCGGAAACCATGTGGTCTACCGACGGACAGACTGACATTAGCGAAACAATATACCCCCTTTTCTTCGAAGGGGAGCATAAAAATTATTAAAGGACCATAACTGGGCCAAAAGTCATTGAACCGGAAAGTGTTGACGATATGCACAACTAGACTTGGTACAGATCATTCCTGTAAAGTTTGGATGAAATTGCACCTGTAGTCTATGAGGAGTAGTCCAGACAAGTTTTGTAACAGACGAACAGACGTTCGGCCAAAATGGAATAAGGGTCATTTGTTTTGATATTTTCTACTGTTTTATAGACGGCCAATTGCCCCTAACTCAATTGTTATGGAATGAACTCTATTGTTCTCTTTTGTTTTGTATACAGTTAGATGACACCCTATCCCTATTCGGTAGTGTGACCAGACAGACGACATAGAGATGATCCCTATATGCCACTACTCTGTAGAGGCGATACAAAAAAAGTTGCTGTAATAGGTTTAAAGGTAGTTTACCCAATAGGATGTCCAAGACTAACAGCGCCACCATGTATATTCACTCTGTTTATATCCAAATTCAACATCTGTATGTTAGCCAGTACCACAACACTAAATGCTTCATTTATCTCCCACATAGCTATATCATCACTTTTAACACCTGTTGAATCTAGAACCTGTAAAATATTCAACATTTACACATACATGTATTTTAGTGTTTACCTTTATAGCTAAACAGATCATGATTTCATAATCATCTGTTTCAAAACAAGTCTGAATTCAACATGTTTGAAGCTGGAACCATACATCACACATTTGTTTCATTTCACAATTTCTAAACTAAATACGTTATATATTTATATATACATATATTCAATATATTTCAATATATATATAGCGTATTGAACGGGCAATCCAGAGACCTGTGGTTCGAGTCCCGGCTATAGCTTGCTGATTTTTCATGCAATTTATATATATAAAACATATATAAAATCTGCCAGATAAACTGTCTTAAATCTTCATAAAAGTGGACTATTTAACAAAATTGTACATTTACTTGTTTTGTGTTCAATATCTGACACTCAACAGTCATCATAACTTATAACCAATGTTAAGACTTGATCCAATAATTTAAAACTTGGAAAGGAAGTTCAACAAAGTATATATTCTAGAAAAAATCAAACAAACCTGGCAAAATTTACCTAAACAAGCAATTATCATAGTATTGCAAAGCAATCCATAAGTCACCTACCAGTTAGAGCCCCAGTTTTCTCAGGATGAATAAGTATAACACATGTTTCAATTTTTCTCTATTTTAAGTGAATTTGTTGGAAAAATCTTTAAAAGTGATCTCAGGAAACAGTTTTTATTAACTGACAGACAGACAGACCGAAGGAGACTCTAAACTTATTTTTTTAAACACCACTGTTACCTAAATATAACAGAAAAGATAACTCTTGAAATAAAGATGCTAGATTTATGAACATTGTCATACATGATGATACCATTTATAGTCACAAAGAAGAAAAGTAAAAAATAACAATTTTCAAATATACCATTAACATGTTATTTACAAAGATGAAAATTAAACAAGAGGGCCATGATCTAAGTTCTAGCTCATTGGCTTTTTTAAAAGAAGATTGTTAAAGTTTTTACTATACACATATAGTTAAAAACAATGACACCCCTGGGGCAGGGCCAGTTTTGACCCCCCGGCGTTTATTTTAACAAACTTTGTAGATATTTACTTAAAGATGTTTCATGCTTAATATCTAAACTCTAGCTATTTGGGTTTTTCCAAAGAAGATTTTTTAAGTTTTTACTATATGCATATAGGGAAAATCAATGACCCCCTGGGGCAGGGCCAATTTTGACCCCAGGGCTTTTATTTGAACATACTTGGTAGACACCCATTAGAACAAGTTTCATGCTAAATATCTTAGCTCTAGCTCTTTGGGTTCTTTAAAAGAAGATTTTTTAAGTTTTTACTATATGCATATAGGGAAAATCTATGACCCCCCTAGGGCGGGGTCAATTTTGACCAAAGTCTTTTATTTGAACAAACTTGGTAGACATTCACTAGAAGATGTTTCATGCCATATATCTAAGCTCTAGCTTTTATGGTTCTTTAAAAGAAGATTTTTTAAGTTTTTATTATATGCATATAGGGAAAATCAATAACCCTCGGGGCGGGGCCAATTTTGACCCCAGGGCTTTAATTTGAACAAACTTGGTAGACACTCACTAGAAGATGTTTCATGCTTAATATCTTAGCTCTAGCTCTTTGGGTTCTTTAAAAGAAGATTTTTTAAGTTTTTACTATATGCATATAGGGAAAATCAATGACCCCTGGGGCGGGGCCAATTTTGACCCCAGGACTTTTATTTGAACAAACTTGGTAGACATTCACTAGAAGATGTTTCATGCCAAATATCTAAGCTCTAGCTCTTACGGTTCTTTAAAAGAAGATTTTTTAAGTTTTTACTATATGCATATAGGGAAAATCAATGACCCCCTGGGGCGGGGCCAATTTTGACCCCAGGGTTTTTATTTGAACAAACTTGGTAGACACTCACTAGAACATGTTTCATGCAAAATGTCTTAGCTCTAGCTCTTTGAGTTCTTTAAAAGAAGATATTTTAAGCTTTTACTATATGCATATAGGGAAAATCAATGCCCCCCCCTGGGGCGGGGCCACTTTTGACCCCAGGGCTTTTATTTGAACAAACTTGGTAGACACTCACTAGAAGATGTTTCATGCCAAATATCTTAGCTCTAGCTCTTATGGTTTTTTAAAAGAAGATATTTAAAGTTTTTTTCTTTCGGTTGCCATGGCAACCAGACTTCTGCATGGAATTAAATTCTTTGAGCAAGTTTTAAAGGAGACCACCAAAGGAACATTCCTGTGAAGTTTGGATGAAATTGGCTTGGTGGTTTATGAGGAGATGTCATTTAAAGTAAAAGTTTAGGGACGGATGGACGTCCGGACGGATGCCTGACGAAAAGCGATCACAAAAGCTCATCCTGTCACTTTGTGACAGGTGAGCTAAAAAGTAACACATTAAATGCTGTAAATCACAGTTTATGTGATTCAGAGGGATATTTTTGGATCTTTGTTTAACAGTAAGAATCTTATTCTACTGCATCTATTATCAAAGGAATATCAAATCAAGAGAAAAAATGGCTGCCATTTACAAGTTGATTAGAAGTTTCAAAGGCCGAGGAATTTGTTTTCAAGAATTATTTCTTTCAACAAAAAGGCCCCTTTCCACAAAAATTGCCATTTGTAAGTAGATTAGTTTGTTATTTTAACTTTTTTTATGTTACATGATACATACAAAAACATGCAACTATCTTTGTTATCAGTTTCATCAGGCTCAGCTCATATGGGCAGAAAGAGCTCAGCCCCTTCTAGCAAATATCAGCCTCTCCTGAAAAAACTGTTATTATAAGACAGTAGCATGTTATTCTTTATATAACTATCTCTGACAAGGTCAAACAACCACCAGCAATGGTAGAATGCCTATATCATTATGCTTCAATTGTAGAAAAAGAAAAGTTTCGTGATTATTATTTATGATTATCCATTTCATTTATGAGTATTCATTTCATTTATGATTATTTGTTTCATTTATGATCATTTGTTTCATTTGTGAGTACTCAAATGACCTTCAAATCATTATAAGTGATACACAAAAATAAAAATAACAAAAATGTAATTTGATGTCCAAAAACTAAAATTTGCCCCAAGCCAAGGAAGTGTGCACATTTATTACATCTGTACCTAGACAAGAGGCCCTGACAAATAGTCAACATGATAAAAACTCATAGAATAAATTTATAAAGACTTACTTAACCAATTAAGCCATTAATAAAAGAAAACATGGAAAACTGAAACCATTTGCTGGAGAGGAAATTTTTATCAGTGCATACAGTGTGTGTGATTGCATGCTGATTTTATAACTATGAAAGTACTTACTTCATGAAAAATATTGACTTATTAAGTAGGAAATAACAGTAATAAATTACAATTTTAGAATAATCAATAATTTCATCAGTCTTTAAAATCAATACTAATTCTTTTTCATGTTTTCAGGTGATGGCTTTTGTAAGCTTATCCTTTCAGCTTAAATCTATAAACACTGTAAACTGTTCATTGATCTAATAGTTTGTACATATTGATACCAATTTTATTTTTTGATATATAATTGATGTTTATTTCATTCTAATATCTGCTATCCAGTTTTCTTAGCACCTAACTTTATAAAAACAAGGAAAGCCTTTCATTATTTTTTATTTCAATGATTATGAAATAGTGTTTCATTTCACTCCACTAGTATACTTCAAATTTGGTCAAATTAAAAGTTTACCAAAAAGCCCTCAAGCATTAAAACTGTAGTCTGACTTTCAATCATAAAGATAGATAAGGTTGAACTTAAACAGGGAAATATGAAATTGATACATACATGGATTTTATTTTAAAAATTCAAATACAATAAATTCTTTAACATTTTAAGCTATATTCATTGATAAAATGATTTTTTCCTAGGACAGATGGACAGATAAACCAAACTAGTAAAAATACTTATATCCTAAAAAAATGTCTACATAAACTTAAAGATCTCATAAATTAAATAAATTAAGTACAAAATTTATAAGAAATGATACTGTGTAAATCACCATAGAGGAGGCTTAAAAACATACTTTAAAACAATGAGATACTGGGATGGTAATATTATCATTAACTTTGAATGGAGTCAAGTTGTACAAGCTTTCTGGATTCGCTACCCGAATCCAACAAGTGGTCATGTCTTAACTGAGGATGTTATACAGAGGAAAGTTGAAGGGCAGAAACTAATAACGAAAAAGTTAATCATGAAAGAAGGAAAGATACCATCATACCTGGAAAGATTTACTGGAGGTGTGAGACATATTCATGTTATTGAAGAGTCAATTTTGGATTTAAATGACAAAACATTGATTACTTATACACGTAATATTGACATGCAAAATGTGATGAATGGTCACGAAAAATGTACATACAAAGTTAATCCTGCAGACCAATCAAAAGTATTGTGGGAAAGACAGATGTGGTCAGACTCAAAAATTACAGGGTTGGGTAATCTCATAACAATGTTAGGGGTAAAGCAATACCAGAAAAACTTTGAATTGTCAAAGTCTGGATTTAATTATGTGCTTAGATCAATGTTTGATCCGAACTCAATAAAGGTGCATGAAACAAAGAGAATCACCAGTAGCAAGAAAACAAGCTACATTCTAAAGATATTGAAACAAATTCATTCCAAAGTTAGAGAACTTTTATTTCCTCCATATCATAAATTACTTGTGTATATCCACCCAATTCCTGATCATCAAAACGTAATCTTACATGCAAATGCTTCCTTCTGCATGTGAAGTATGGGTCATTCTATTGATTTTTTCAGTGATATTTCAATTAATTACAAGAATATCCTTGATGAAGTCTTCTTGAAGTAAAAGGATAGTTAGAAAGTCATCAACAAATCAGTGCATGCTGTGATAACAGGCATTTATGAGATAAAATAATTCTGATCAATGAAAGGGATGCTGTAGGTTTAATACCATACTTTATGAAAAAAAGTTATTAATGGAGATGACTATTCAACAATTTTAAAAACATAAGCTGATAATTTCTAAT